GGAATTATTCCATTGAATTTTATGGCAATTATCAAATGCATGTTGACAAATGTGTGATTTATGATATTCTCTGTTTCTTATGTATGATTGGTGTTCTTTAAGTCTTTTGTGTAATGGTCTTGAGGTTTCTCCTACATTTTTTGTATTTTCAATTATATCATGAGGTTTTGTTACTGAAATTTTACTTCTAATTGTATTTTCAGTTTTGAAGATAGCCCTGCTATTCCATTTTTTACCAACTCGTTTAATTTGATCTAAAAGTCCTGGAATAAATGGAATGAAAAGGTTCGTAATAGGTTTATTTTGATTTTGTTTTGTTCGTGGGAATTCAATTTCGTTAAAACATTTTTCAATAAAAGAATTTGGATAATTATTGAAATTTAGAATTTCTTTTATAAATTGTTTTTCTTTGGAAAAATTAGATTGATTACAAATTATTTTTGCTCTATCATATAGACTTTTTACCGATACCTTTTTTAACCATTATCGGGTGATTTGAGTCGAAATTCATGAGAATCTCTCCCCATTCCATCGTTTTCCTTATTGAGCGAGAATCAAATAATCTGAGCTTGAGTGGGTGCAAAGTATTAAAAATGCTTAACTTCCTTCCTCTTAGCCGTTGGCTCCAATTTAGAGAACCGGTTGAGTTGCAAAGCTCTAGTTACCATTGCAGAATAGAGCCTTACAATGAGCCACTTTTTACGTAAAACATCATTTTAGGAATGTTTATAATTTTCGCGCAAAATGCAAAAATAAGGAGAGTCTTAAAATGCGCCGTTTGTTTTTGGCTCATACCCGGTCAAATTTGATGCATAAATTTCCTTTTCGGCAAGAAAAATGTGTCAGACTTAATCACCGGTTCATTGTAAGTTGTCTCCTGGGAGAATCAAGGTTTTTGTCTCTCTTCCTTATTTTATTATTATAAAGTCTTAACAATGTACAGACTATCTTAAATGGAGTGAGGTATCTTAACTAGTGCCTTGCAGAATGCTACAAGGCTTGTTTCAATGAAAAGGACAGCTTGGGCCTGGAATTGTTTTTGCCGAGGATTTTCCTCTGTTCCTCCTTCGAGCGCTTTTCCTGCTCTTTCTCCAGCCGCCGTCGCTCCTCATCGATTTTCCGCTGCTCTTCCACCATCGCCAACCGTTCTTCTGCCTATAGAACCGTTCCCGCATTACCACAAAAGCTCTAGAAGGTCACCCAGGGCCTTACCAGTCTCTTCTGAGCTTCCTCAATCTTGCGCTGGTTCTCCTCTAGAATGTGCTGCACCTCGGCGTGTTTTCTCCGCTCCTCCTCCTATAAAACAGGATGCTCAATTACGATCGGGCGAAAACTGCTCAATACCAGTCCCACCTCTCACACAATAACCCGTTCCATTTTTAAGGGTGAGAGTGTGTGTTAAATAAAAATTGAACGATTCATCCCATTCAAGCTTAGCAACAAGTTGCACCTTGTCGATGAATGATGATTCTGGCCAGTCAATGAAGGTGCAACTTTACGGGAGCGTTTGCGTTTCAACTTGCCAGAAAGAACAACGCTGGAACTCTAAAAAACCCATTGTTCTTTCCGGATTTTTGGGCCATTATTTTAGTAAAACAGCGAGTTTACAGTAAAACTTTAAATAAGAGAATCGTTTTACTAGAGTACCAGCCCAATAGGAGCCTACATGAACCAGCAAACGCCCCCCCTGAAAACGTGAAGTCCCATTCGCTGGTGGGACCGGTTTAGCGACCAATAAGGGGGCCCCGAAGGCGTTTGGCACAATTATCCACCAATCGGACGGGGTGATACAGTACATGTAGTAAAAGTAAAATGAGTATATAAAAAAGTTTGGATAATACCTGCTACGATGTTCCGTCCACCGTACGCTGCTCCATGTTCACTTGCTTTGCATGGCCGGCCGCCCTTTAGCTTTATTATTCAGCTAATGGCATATAATTTACAACATAACTTGAGGAAAGTTTAGGCAGACGGTCTGATCTACACGCTATCAAAGTTTTTTTTAGCTACAGGGACTAGACTGGCCTCCCAAGTCTTTTTGGGCGATTTTGTGTCGATTCCTCTACCGGGCAAGCGACCACTAAAAGGGCACAAATCAACTCACTCGCAACTTCATCCCTTTCACGCTCTCCATTCAGCCACTTTAGGCGGTTTAACCAGAAGCGAAGAGAAGGACAATTGCAACTTGCAACCGCTCACAAGGAAAACTTTGAGTGAAAGTGACTGAGAGAGCGAATCAGGACGAAATGGGGCGTGTAATAAGGACGTTGTGTGGGGGAAAAACAAAAATCACCTCGAATTTTCAGCTTGGAAGACATTAAGCATGTAAGGGCATATACAGGGTGCCCGTCAATAGCAAGCACCAAGGCAAAATGGTAATTCTTCAGGTAATGTTGACTACAATTCCCGCAAAAAGTTGCAGCTCTCACATTTTCGCTAAAGTTTCTGCCAAAACATTCACATCAGTGGGAATGTACAGGGTGATTTTTTATTCCCGATAGAACTTTCAGAGCTCGGTAGCGGCTGCTCGATTAAAACACCAGCTCCAGGAAAAATTAGCAAAAATCAAAGGAAAACCCTGATTAAGTTCAGTTTTTTAGCTGCGCTTGATTGCGGTCTCAAAATTTTCAGACAATCGCGCGTATTTTCGGGTTCCGCTTTCGAATTCTTTCTTCACATTTTTTAAATTTTACGTTACGTATACAGGGTGATAAGGCGACCACTATGTGGACAAAAACAGTGAAAATTTCCAACATTTTTGTTGAAAATCAATCAGCAGCAGTTCGAATAAACTGCACCTTTGCACATTTAGCAACAAATTCCTCTTCCAAAAATGCTCAAAGCTGCAATTTTGTTCTGGGTTCTAGAAAACGGTTCTAGCCTGCAGAAATCCAAAAAAAATACACTGAAAAACCACCGCATTCCTATGTGCTTGATATTTACTAGCGACCTGTATAGTGAGTGAATTTACATGGTACACGCTTTGCTTGATGACTGATCAGTGACGAAAATATCCTGGAAAGTGATAAAAATATGGAATTTGACGAGCAAACAACATTGGCCTGTTTGTTTCAAGATAACACCGAACTCACTTTGGTCGCCCTCTTCGCAATGTAACAAAACCGCAAAAGTTTGTCTCTTAATATAAACAGCTAGTTTAATGCGCAACCTATACAGAAAATAAAGACAAAGAAAGTAGAATCAGTAGTTATCAAAATATATCTTACAGTCTAGAAGCAGCTGAACGAAAAATTACAAAAAATAATAATAGAAATAATCGGCTTTGGTTGAAGTGAGTAGCTTTTTTCAAATTTGTTGTGAATCTGAACGAAACAACGACTGAATGCTTGACAATGTATTTAAATATAGTAAATGTGTACAAGAATTGCCCTGCAATTACATCAAAGCCAGAAGTAAGTCTGCTCAATCAACGGGCCTGTCTTTACTCTTACCTCTCGTTTGCGCTCATCTTCGCGCTGTTTCGCTTTCCGTCTTTCCAGGTCCTCCATCAGTTGCTTCTCCATGATTTGCTTCGCTTCTTCCACTCGTTTGGACACTTCGCGTTCGATTTCTTCGCGTCGCTTCTCCAGCTCTTCTTCCACACGTTTTTTGACTAAATCTTCAATACGTTTTGCCGTCTCTTCTTCCACGAGTTTCTGTTCAGCCTCGCGCTGTCGTCTTTGCCGTTCCATTTCGGCTAGTCGTTCCACTTCATCCAATTTCCGATATTTGTGTTTTCGGCTTGTGTGTCTTTCGATTTTGTCGATCGACAAATCGCTACTGCTTGATGATGAAATGGAATCTGAACGTTTTCTGTAATAAGGAAAGCATAATTTATTTTACTTAGATAAACTGCTCTTGCTTCGAAAAAAATGTTCCGACAACTTAATTCTGGAGCTACAAGATCCTAAACTTCGATGGTCCATTGAAAGTGGACATTTCTTCTTAAAGATTAGATTTTCTGATAAAGCAGCGAAACGCACAATCGAAAAGGTCTGTACGACCAAAAAGATGTTTTCAACCGTTGCAAAGTACGAGCTTTTAGAGCCCTTTTACACGAGGATACTTTTACCCGGCAACTATTGCTTCTGATACTCGTTTAACATACAGCCTTATGGAACCATACACACAGGGATACTTCTCACAATCAGTTTCGGCAACTAAATTTCGGTCTGCCGTGAATTCCAGTCGCCGGCAATTTTACTTCTGGGGCCCCATTTTCTATGGGCCTTTAAGGACCTGTTCGTATATGGACTTGCTACTTATGAGAACCCGGCTACTACTTTACTGTCTTGCTACAACCCTGCGATGAGTATCCCGCAATGTAAATGGCATCGCAGATTTCGGTCTGCGAAGAACAGCGGGCAACTGTATCTTCGTGTAAAAGAGCTCTTAAACTTAAACGCCCGGGCTCTTAATACTTCAGAATGGACCGCCACTGGGTTGAAGCACCCAGGATGCCCTCAGAATCTGCAAAATACTCACCGATTTTTGACGGGCTTCTCTTTCAGTCTGTCTGGGCGTTCTGAGCTCCGCTCCCTATGGCGTTTGTGGGTGCTCAGAATGCCCTCAGATCTGTCCCTCGACTTGCTACGTTTATGATGTTTTGTTTTGTGGTGTTTCTTGGGCGTCCTACTTCGGGAGCGTGATCGACCCATAATTGCACTAACAATATCACTAGAGGATCAGAAAATCACTAACTTCTGAGCTCAAACAAGATGTCCACCCTCAAAACAAGCACTTTTGACTTTCAACTGACTGTTGACAGTTTTGTGGTCTGTCTGTTTCACACTTGCCTGCCTGCCATCTGTGGCCGATTTTTCACATAATTTTTAAACGATTATTTTGGGGAATTGCGTGCTTTTGAGATTTCTGCTCAATGCTTTGCTTATTAGGAGTGACTAATTAAATTTCCCTGTGTGTAATTTTAGCTAGAATTAGTTCATCTTAGTCTATTCAATAAAATATTAATGTTGGCTGCAATAATTGGCCGCAAACACCATCATACCTACGTTGCAGAAGGCGATCGCCCCCAGATGGCCCTGGAGTATAAATGTCATTGTTGACAGAAGTTGAAGTTTCCAATAAACGTCGTGAGTAGTGAATGCACTGAACCCAACCCAAAACTTTGGAATTTTTAGTTTATCGCCACTCTTTTCAGGTACGGTTTGTTGATTTTCTTTGAGTATAAAGGGTAAAGAAGTGGAGAAACGCCCGCTGAAGCCCTACGAAGGCCTCAGTGGGGCGGAAAACGACTAAAGAATTGGCCGATTTGACAAATTAAAAATGGCAGCAATCTGATAAAATACCTGCATAATAAACGGTTGATATTTGCAATACTTTAATGCGGATTAAGGCAGTTCAGTGCGTGGAAACTGGTTAAAAATTGGTGTATTGTTTCAGGGCTTTTGGCAAAGATGCAGACCATTAAGTGTGTAGTTGTTGGCGATGGGGCTGTTGGTAAAACTTGCCTACTTATCAGGTAAGTCCTGTTCTAGGCTCCCATTTGCGCTGTTAATTAGTGGACGTTTTCCAGCTACACCACAAACAAGTTTCCGTCTGAGTACGTTCCCACAGTCTTCGACAACTATGCGGTCACAGTGATGATCGGAGGCGAGCCCTACACTTTGGGGCTGTTTGATACAGCTGGTACAACATTTCATCTTGCCACTAGTCTGGGATAATCCTTATTTTGCCTTCCAGGTCAGGAGGACTACGATCGGCTGCGGCCGTTGAGCTACCCACAAACGGACGTATTTCTAGTGTGCTTTTCTGTGGTCAGCCCTTCGTCATTTGAGAACGTCAAGGAAAAGGTAATTTGCGAAATGCCGAAGAAGGCAACCACAAACCTAAACTAACGATTTTTCCAGTGGGTTCCGGAAATTACTCACCACTGCCAAAAGACGCCTTTCCTGTTGGTGGGCACTCAGGTGGACTTGCGAGACGACGGAGCAACGATTGAAAAATTGGCAAAGAACAAGCAGAAACCGATCTCGATAGAGCAGGGCGAGAAGCTGGCCAAAGAACTGAAGGCTGTTAAATACGTAGAGTGTTCTGCTCTGACCCAAAAGGGGCTGAAGAACGTGTTCGACGAAGCAATTCTGGCCGCTCTGGAGCCTCCAGAGCCGGTCAAGCGCAAAAAGTGCATTATTCTATAAGAACCAAGACTACCGCGAGGCGACGACAAATTTCAAGTATTTCAAACAAAACTAGTAGGAGGTTCTGCACTGGCTTGTCTTCAGGTCTCGGCCCTGACAATCGGAAAGAACCAACCTGGTGAAGGATCAGACTGTGCACTTTTGTACAGTCTGAACTTCTTTCTATACATCTTAATTAGGTTTAACGTTTTTTACATCTAAACATATTTAAAGAACCTGGTAAAGGGGTAATTGTAAGCACTAAAGATTAACCAACTGTTTGGATTTTCGTTTGTTGGGCTCGTCTCAGTTTGCAACCTTTGTAGGATGCGAATTAAGCTGGGGGGTAAAGCTTTGATTTTTATCTATTCTACTATGCCCGACCGTTAAGAGCAACATTTTCGAGCCCCCCTATAGTTCTTGTATATACCATTATAATCGAGTGAATGAATCAGCTAACCAGAATCTTGGCCGAACGGGAGATCGACTCGAGCCTCAACAGCAAACTGAACAAAACACTTTGCATTTTAAATGTAAATATTTACTTGTTCGAGCCAACTTTGTGATCTCTCCTTTGGCCATACCCTACCACCTAAGATGCATTTAAGATTTTATTTTACTACTAACAAATACTGTATTCGTTAATGTGTGTATAGTTTTTCATTGCGTTTCAATTCATACACTGTTCATTTACTATTTAATACTACAATATAGAGTATATAAGCTTAACTGGTGTTCAGTTACTTTCAACCCAAACTAAATAAATAAATTAAAGTGGAAGGAGAGCAAATGTATAAAAACGCCTTAGAAAAATTGCTAATTTGCTAAAAAACAAAAATGTACAACAGGTTTCCTTAATCCTAGCTGGTTACACCTCTATATCACTGAAGGCCTTCGGTTTACCAGCACGGAGAGCAGAACTCTCTTACCGGCAATTTAAAGGGCTTTGAAATATCACCCACGGTCGGCCCAGTTGGTGATATTCAATTAATTTAATTTAATCTAATTGTGGCTTAGTTTTAAATGTAATTGGACGTATCCAGCTCTCCATAGACAGCTATGCTGTCTCTCAGCTGCTTGGCAGCAGCGTCGATTTTCTCCTTCAGGATCATGTGGGTTTCCTTAAACGACTTCAGGAGGAAAATGGGCACATGGTCGTCTCGCCTCTGGAACAGGCATTCGCCCTCGAATTCAACTAGCTGGTGTTTCCGGGCCCGTATCAGCATTCCCACCACTTTATCCGAAATTCCTGTGTAGATCTAAAAAAGGGAAAACCGACGGTTATGCAAATGTGAATATTTTTATTGGAAGGGAACGTACCGAAAATAAATTTCCGAAACTGATCACTTTCCTTGGGTCGTCCTTTTTTTCGTGGGGCTCATAAAGGGGCTCGCCGCATTGGTTGATGATTTCGCACAGCTGGAGCATTTCTTTGCACACTTGGATGGTCGCTTTGAAGGACCTCTGCTCGGAAAGGGAGCCTTTTGGCGGCCTGGATAGTAATCAAAATATTAGTTATAAGCAAAAATCATTTAATAAATAAAGTTAAATTAAATATTTTTTGGAGTGTTTTGAGTTTCTGCTTATTTTTGCATACGCATTCACGATTGGTTAATTTGGATTTTTACACACAATTTGAACGTTTTGCATATTCAACTGTAAGAAATTTATTGCTCAAAATGACTACAGATTTGCATTAAGTCGAAGTGATTTGGATTCACTGATGACTTGAAGAATTTTTTGCGAACGTAAGTAACCTGCTGAGTATGTGCATTATAATTTTTTTAAATCGCAACAGATTTTCAAGCCGATAGAAAAGGTTCTCACCCGGGAGAAAGTCCGCAAAAATTCCCCCTGTGGCGCATTCGCCATTTTGGCTAGGCAGAGTTTCTCAAGAAATGGAAACTTACTTTCCATAGTCCTCTTTGGAGATTTTCGGCCTGGGCAGCTTGGACACGCACTGATCATTGGAGAAGGGATTGACCGCCTGCTTTTCGCTGTGGCTGTTTGACATCGTATTGAACAGCGCCACTTTGTTCTTCAGTGGAGAATCCTGGACAAAAAACGCATTATAAGGCCGAACATTGGCAGTGACCGATGGAGGTGATTGTTGGCATTGAATCCGTTTCCGAAAGTTGAGAATTTGCGAATTTGGCCCGTGGCCAAGACGCGAAACGACCACCGTTTTTTCTGGCGTTGATTTTCCGCCGTCATTCCGGTATTTTTAGACGGTCAAGTTTGTTAATGAATGTTTTCTGTTGTTGCTTTATGTATTTAAACCGAATCCTGAATTCATTTTTCTTGACCGCATTTCCGCAGTTAATTTATAACATTTGTTTGCTTTAGATTAATTGAGGATGGCGGATAGGAAAACTCCAAAAATTTTAAAGTTTAAGCAACAAATTTGTAAACATATTATAATAAATGAGTGAAAACCAGGACACGTTATCAATTAATCTGCTGGCAATCAAGATTTTTCGGATTGGGTGTTTTGTTATTTAGTTTAATCGAGAAAAGTCCTCAACGTCTGGATAAAATGGCGAATGAACTTTAAAAAATGCGGCTAGTTGCAGGTGTTTTTGAACACTTACTCTCAACTGCTGATACTAAGCGCAAAAAAATGGATTGATTACGGGGTTCTGGATAATCAGCTCTCAACGCGATAAGGTTTCCGAAAAATTGCTTTTCTTTGAAGTACTTGCATCGACATCAAAAATCCCCCTCAGCCTTGTAAAATTTTGCATAGTTTTTCCGATTCATTTCAAATCCATCATCGTCTGGATAAAATCGCGGATGAACTCACTCACTTTAAAAGTTCGCCCTTTGTAGGTGTTTTAGCAAAAGTTAGTTAGGTATTGGCTAATCCAAATAAGGTATTTTTCCGTTTAATATCCATAAAACAAAATTTTCCCAAACATTCCCAGCTTATGAGCAATTGATGATGATTTTATAGTCCCTTAATTGGCTATCAATCTAATCTAGAGTGCCATAAATTGGAAACTTGGGCCAAAACTGGGTGTTTTTAAGGACTTACCACGAAAACTCTCTCGTTTACGCAGGCCGACATGATGGCAGTTGTATCCAAAGATCACACACCAGAAAACCACTGATTACCACTGAGAAAAAACGCGTTTTCTTCGGCAGGAGAGCCGGAAAATTTTAATCAACCGCTGGGCTCGAGCGGGACGACAGTAAACGGTTGCAAATGACTTGGCCGCCTTTTAATATAGTGGCAGGCGGTGGAATGTTTCGAATTATAAAAGATTAGCGTCGCGACGTCAGTTGGCGTCTTGGGACGTCACGGACGTTCACAATTTTTTTTTGAGCGCCCGCCACATTCTTTTGCGAGAAATTCGCTGCCAATTTCCCATTTAACGAATATTCAGGGGCATCAAGCAAAAACAACGCAGTTCCAATAGGAACTGTTTGCAGCGGAAAGTTGCTTAATTGTGATCAAACCCTAAGTTTTCCATAATACCCATAACAGGTGGGTGGCCTTCGATAGGCCGTCCTAAACCCCCTGCAACCAATAGGAAAACGTCGCCGGCCCAATGACGACTAAACGGAAGGGAGTCTCTGCCAATCAGGCTGAATGTCCCGGACTCGATCGCCCGGATACAGTAATTGTTCGGAAACAAATGAAACCGGCTCCGGGATGTTACCGGGAATGTTCGCAAAGATTTCAACCTTTTGAGGTGAATTTCTGAACAACTCGTTAAAAAAAAATTACCTAATTGCATCAGCGTGCGAGCACACAAATCAGCCGCCGTTTCATTATGATTATTCAAGTTCGTCGATCTAAAATTAACCAGAAGTATTTTCATTGATGGTACGAATCTGGCCGAGCATAAATCCTTGAAGTTCTTCGCACGCAATTTTCGCTTGCGAATGAGTTTCCGGATGAATAACTGAGCCAGAGAGTCGACGTCATCACATACCGTATCATTTGTTTTTGCTTAAATTTAGATGGACGAAAAACAAGTCTAAAAATAGGTGGCGAAAACTCCACTTGATGTTGAAGGTAGGTATTTCTGGAGGAGATATTTTTTTAACAAATGTGGGCTGAGTGTTTCCTGAGCGCTCGAAGTTACGAGCGGAATTCGGTTTTTTCCGAAAATTCGGCTGAGACCTCGACTGGCGCCAGAAGATCCAAATGGGCCCATAAATCAGCATGTTCTTGTCGCGTCTAATTTAATAACATATAAATATTGGTCATTGGTCAAGTTTTTTTTCGATTTGACTGGTGATAAATCGGCGACTCTAAATAAAGCGCACAGGCGATTTTTCTGTTTATTACATGACGCCATAATTACAGCGTGATATGCAGGCTTCAGCAGTCGATTAAAGAGGCTTAATTTTACAAATGCTATCAATTTGAATTACAGTAAAGTCCGCTTATAATAAACCCGGTTATAGTGAACTTTCGGTTAAAACAAACTTTTTCCTTTAATTGAAACGTCGTCCATAAAG